AGAGCAGGGGGGGCTGGGAGCCAGGACTCCTGGGTTCTGTCCCCGGCTCTGGGAGGGGAGTGGGGGCTGGTGGTTAGAGCAGGGGGGCTGGGGGCCAGGACTCCTGGGTTCTCTCCTTGGCTCTGGGAGGGGAGTGGGGCCTGGTGGTTAGAAGTGGGGGAGAGGGGGGCTGCATACCAATCCACTGTCTCAATATGTCGGTGCCTCTCTCTGTGCCTCAGTTTCCCTGGTGTATCTGTCTCCTGAGTCAGCCCAGCCCTCATGGCCTGGGGGCCCATGGAACAGTCACAGGCCCAGTGCACTCCGGCCCCGCTCCCTCATCTCTCCCCCTGCCCTGGAGCTGGGATCAGGGCCCTTGTGCCAGCCCCACACGCTGGGGAGACCCCTTGGGTGGTGGGGTGGGGGGGTTATCAAGGGGCAGATACTGCCCCAGAGGGGCCCACACGGGGCTGAGGACTGTGCCCTCAGTTTCTCTCAGCCTCTGGGGGGCAGGGATGGGGCGAGGGGGAATCATTGTCCAGTTATCTGCCCCCCCCCATGAATCACCTCTTTCCATGGGGCATGCAGGGTTTAACCCCTCGGGCGCTGGCAGGGCATGTGCCCAGGTGCTGGGAGCCGGGCGGGCTGGTGGCTGAGGTGTCCATGTAGTTGTCACCTGCCCCGGTCCATGGGGGGGTGGGCCCTGCAGATCTACCCCGAGGGGCGTCCCGTGGTGGCCAATATCAAGCCCCTCTTTGACCGGCTGCTGATTTTCTGGTCGGACCGACTCAACCCCCACGAGGTGAAGCCGGCCTATGCCACGAGGTACCTGCCGCCCCACTGGGGGGAGCTGGGAACGGGGGGGCTGTCTCAGATGCAGCACCGTCCAGGGCAGGCCTCTGCTTGGGGGAGAGGGGGAGGGCAGGACGGTGGCTGATTTGCATACAATTTGAATACCTCCAATGTTCGTCCAATCCCTGCATCTGATTGATTGGGCTTGTCTTAGCCTTGGTCCCCACTACGAGTTTAGGTTGAATTTAGCAGTGTTAGATTGATTTAACCCTGCACCCGTCCACACGACAAAGCCATTTTTGTCGACTTAAAGGGCTCTTAAAATCGATTTCTGTACTCCTCCCCAGCTACGGGATTAGCGCTGAAATCGACCTTCCTGGGTCGAATTTGGCGTAGTGTGGACGCAATTCGATGGTATTGGCCTCCGGGAGCTATCCCAGCGTGCTCCATTGTGACCGCTCTGGACAGCGCTCTCAACTCAGATGCACTGGCCAGGTACACAGGAAAAGGCCTGCAAACTTCTGAATTTCATTTCCTCTTTGGCCAGCGTGGCGAGGTGATCAGCACAGGTGACCATGGACTCCCAGAATCACAAAGGAGCTCCAGCATGGACTGAACGGGAGGTACTGATCTGATCGCTATACGGGGAGAGGAATCTGTGCTATCCGAACTCCGTTCCAAAAGATGAAATGCCGGAATATTTGAAAAAATCTCCAAGGGCATGAAGGACAGAAGCTATAACAGGGACCCGCAGCAGTGCCGCGTGAAGCTTACCAAAGAACCAGAGAGGCAAACAGCTGCTCTGGGTCAGACCCCAGACATGCTGCTTCTATGATGAGCTGCATGCCATTCTAGGGGGTGCCCCTACCACTACCCCACCCCTGTGCAAGGCAGGAGTCTCATGCAACCGGGATGAGGATTTTGGGGACAAGGAATATGATGAGGAGGAGGAGGTAGTGCACAGCAGGCATGAGGAGAAAGCGTTCTCCCCGACAGCCAGGAACTGTTTATCACCCTGGAGCCAATACCCTCCCAACCCTCACAAGGCGGCTCCTGGACCTTGAAGGCAGAGAAGGCCCCTCTGGTGAGTTACCTTTGTAAATATAATACATGGTTTAAAAGTAAGCACGTTTAATGATTGATTTGCCCTGAAGACTTGGGTTGTATTTGTGGCCAGTAAAGCTACTGGAATGCAGTCAAGTAACATCTGTTCTTTACCTTTCTGTGTTGTCCTCAGGAGAGTGATATCATTCAGGGTCACCTGGTTGAAATAGGGTGATTTTATTAAGGGGACATTCAGAGGTGGCCGTTCCTGCTGGGCTGTTTGCCTGTGGCTGAACAGAAATTATCTTCACTGTGCGCCACGCAGTGGGGGGAGTGGTGAAGCAATCATCCCAGAGAATTGTGTGTGTGTGTGGATTTAGTTGGGTTTGTGCTGCACATTAACCCGAAAACCGCAGCCCCTCCTTTTAAATGGCCAACCCAACGGGTGCTTGGTATGGGAAAGGAGGGTGCTGCTGTTTGAAACCATTCCCATGTGTTATGAAGGTTAAAGAAGCCAAAAGACTGTGGCTTACCATGGCTGCCTGCAAGCCGAATTCTGTTGCCCGGCCCTGCGTGTGTGATCTCTCACCAAACTGGCAAGCCCTCAATATAAGAGGCAAAATGTGACCTTGTACCGAAAACACACGTGCTATGTAATGTTAACAGCTTGGTTCACCGTGAAAGAATCTACCCATTGTTCTCTAAAATGTGTCTTTTTAAATACTAGTCACCCATTTTTTCCTCCTGCAGCTGCAAATGTTTCAATGCTCCCCCTATCCTCTCCATCCCAGAGGCTAGTGCAGATAAGAAGGCAAAAAAACCACACTCACGATGAAATGTTCTCCGAGCTCATGCAGTCCTCCCACACTGAAAGAGCCCAGCAGAATGTGTGGAGGCAGACAATGTCAGAGTCCAGGAAAGCAGAAAATGAACGTGAGGACAGGAGGGACGCATGAGAGGACAGGTGGCGGGAGCAAGATGAGAGGTGGTGGCATTGTGATGAGAGGAGGCAGGATGCAATGCTGACGCCCAAGAACGCAGGAGGGAGGGGGCTCCAGGTACCCAACCACTCCACTCCAGAGGATTGCCCAAGCAACAGAAAGCTGGCCTTCAATAAATTTTGAAGTGCAGTGTGGCCTTGACCTTCCCTCCTCCCCTCCTCCACCACCCCACGCAGGCTACTTTGGCAGTTATCCCCCTATTTGTGTGACAAATTAATAAAGAATGCATGAATTTGAAACAACAATGACTTTATTGCCTCTCAAGCGGTGGTCGAAGGGGGGAGGGGAGGGCAGTTGGCTTACAGGGAAGTAGAGTGGGAACAAGGGGATGGGCTTTCATCAAGGAGAAACAAACAGAACTTTCACACCGTAGCCTGGCCAGTCATGAAACTGGTTTTCAAAGCTTCGCAGCAGGGCACGCTGCACATCAGAGCTCTTCTAACGGCCCTGGTGTCTGGCCGCACGTAATCAGCGGCCAGGCAATTTGCCTCAACCTCCCACCCCGCCGTAAACGTCTGCCCCTTACTCTCACAGAGATTGTGGAGCACTCAGCAAGCGGCAATAACAATTGGAATATTGGTTTCGCTGAGGTCTATCCGAGTCAGTAAACTGCGCCAGCGCGCTTTTAAACATCCAAATGCACATTCTACCACCATTCTGCACTTGCTCAGCCTGTAGTTGAACAGCTCCTGACTACTGTCCAGGCTGCCTGTGTACGGCTTCATGAGCCATGGCATTAAGGGGTAGGCTGGGTCCCCAAGGATAACTATAGGCATGTCAACATTCCGAATGGTAATTTTCTGGTCTGGAAAGTAAGTCCCTTGCTCCACTGATCACACAGACCAGAGTTCCTGAAGACGCGAGCATCATGTACCTTTCCCGGCCATCCCACGTCGATGTTGGTGAAACGTCCCTTGTGATCCACCAGGGCTTGCAGCACCATTGAAAAGTACTCCTTGCGGTTTATGTACTGGCTGCCCTGGTGCTCCGGTGCCAAGTTAGGGATATGGGTTCCATCTATCGTCCCACCACAGTTAGGGAATCCCATTGCAGCAAAGCCATCCACTATGGCCTGCACGTTTCCCAGAGTCACTACCCTTGATAGCAGCAGCTCTGTGATCACTTTGGCTACTTGGATCACAGCAGCCCCCATCGTAGATTTGCCCACTCTAAATTGATTCCTGACTGACCGGTGGCTGTCTGGTGTTACAAGCTTCCAGAGGGCTATCGCCACTCACTTCTCAACTGTGAGGGCTGCTCTCATCCTGGTATTCTGGTGCTTCAGGGCAGGGGAAAGCAAGTCACAAAGTTCCATGAAAGTGCCCTTACGCATGCGAAAGTTCCGCAGCCACTGGGAATCGTCCCAGACCTGCAACACTATGCGGTCCCACCAGTCTGTGCTTGTCTCCCGGGCCCAGAATTGGTGTTCCACGGCATGAGCCTGCCCCATTGCCACCAGGATGTCCACATTGCTGGGGCCCGTGCTTTGAGAGAAGTCTGCGTCCATGTCCTCATCACTCTTGTCACCGCGCTGCCGTCGCCTCCTCGCCTGCTTTTGCAGGTTCTGGTTCTGCATACACTGCAGGATAATGCGCGAGGGGTTACAGTGCTCATAACTGCTGC